TGCAGTGTCCCAGTGTCAGGTGATCTCCCTTTGCCACCTTCTGAGAAGCAAAGTCAATGGGGAAGCCAGATTCACTTAACAACCGTTCAGTTGCTAATTTAACAACTGCAGTGATTCCGTTAACAAATGTGGCAAGAAAAGTCGTAAAATGGAGGAAGACTCACTTAACAAATTTCTCACTTAGCAATACAAATTGTGGTCATTAAGTCGAGGACTACCTGTATAGCTTTGGGTCTAAAGATTGCTATGGAAAGCCAAGATTAAGGGTGAATCTTGTTACCTGTAGGAATTCTTCAAACCAGTCGTGGGATTCAATTTTTTTTACTACTGGTTCTGTGGGTGTGGCTTGGTGGGCATGGCTTGGTGGGCATGGCAGGGGAAGGATACTGCAAAATCCCCATTTTCTCCCGATCAGCTGGGACTCAGGAGGCAAAGAATAGTTGTGGGCGGGGCCAGTCAGAGGTGGTATTTACCAGTTCTCTGAACTACTCAAAATTTCTGCTATTGGTTCTCCAGAACTGGTCAGAACCTGCTGAATACCACCTGTTAGGATATGGTTTGAGCCTAACATTTGTCCAGGCAATATATGTGTTCTGTGACTTTAATCTGAAAATGTATTATGTGACTTTAATGCTGAGTCATGCTGTAATTAGGTAATGATTGGTTGTGAGAATATTTAAGCAAGGTACTGTAACGTATTCAGTCTGCTGTTGATGATGAAGCTGCTATGCTATGCTGCCATTGAGAGGAGTTGTTATCTGCTAATCATCATTGGATGGATCTGCTACCATCGTGGTTTGTGAACCAGAGTGAGTTTGTTATTCTAACCAACTACTGTTTGTTGGGCAAGAAGATTCTGTAACGACTGGACTGATTTACTGGCAAAGACTTGGAATTTGTTTAAAGATTATGAGACTGTTTTTCTACTATAAAGTAAGCTTTTGATAAACCAGTTTGCATAACTCTTATTCATCGCTCTCAGCAACGTTTCCTTGTGCATTTACTCTGCTGGTTGGTAACACAACAACAATATCCTTAACACCACCTCTGCTTCAAACTCTTCATTTTGTAGGCAGCTGGTCCTCTGACAGGATCAATATCTATCTTCAAAAGTTTTCTGTAAAAGTATCTCCACTTCTGCACCCTTTACCCTTCCAACCCACTCTTCTTGTGTCTCCATCCCTGTTCTCCCTCACCAGCTGAGTTAGCTGTTCCAGAAAGATGCATAAATTATCATAAAGAGCAACGGACATGATTAGGGGACTGGATACTAAAACATATAAAGAACGGTTGCAGGAATTGGGTATGTCTAGTTTAATGAAAAGAAGGAGTAGGGGAGACATTATAGCAGTCTTCCAATATCTCAGGGGCTGCCACAAAGAAGAGGGAGTCAAGCTATTCTCCAAAGCACTTGAGGGCAGGACAAGAAGCAATGGGTGGAAACTAATTGAAGAGAGAAGCAACTTAGAACTAAGGAGAAATTTCCTGACAGTGAGAACAATTAACCAGTGGAACAACTTGTCTCCAGTAGTTGTGGATGCTCCAACACTGGAAGTTTTTAAGAAGATATTGGATAACCATTTGTTTGAAGTGGTGTAGGGTTTCTTGCCTAAGCAGGGGGTTGGACTAGAAGACCTCCAAGGTCCCTTCCAACTCTGTTAATCTGTTATGTGCTTTGGTTCTAATTATTTGGCTGCAAATGCTACAACTGGTGCTGCTACTATGCCTCTAATGATACCGTTTCAGTAATAGCAGGTTCAATACATTTAATTAATGGTATCTATTAAAAACCTTTTAAGATTATAATCTTGAGAGGACACAAGGTCAATACTGGATAGAGGACCACTTGGAAATCCCAAACCCATACATGATGGTGATTGATGATGATGATAATGATAATTATATAGTTGTCCACCAAGATTGGGGAGCTGTAGAACTGAACTTGACATGAAAGAGACTATTTTAACTTGAGCACTTCCTCCTCATCAGCCGAGGAATGTCGTTGGCGGGAACCAACTTGAGGACATATAAATTCCTTCTATGACGTGGGATGGAGCCTTTTGAAGGATACAATCCCAAATAAACCAACTTAGATTGAAGTTTCTCAGGAAAGGCAAGTCTATTTTCTACTCCTGGAAGCACATTTGGCAAAAATTGGGTGGCTCCTGGCTCAGCTTCCTGCCCAATTGGGAGACCAATTTTTTTGTATCTTGCTTTGGCAGGCAAAGGCCTTTTTTATTTGCTAAGAAGCTTTCCAGTTGATTTACTGCTAAGTAGCATTTATTAGTTTATTAAATTTCAATTGATGTATTGCTTCACCAAATCCCTATTTCATTTCTAATTTTGTCATTTTTTAAATTCAATTATATTTTAACTGTTGACATTTAATGTTTTAATTATCCTCTGGCTAGGTTATTTGTAATCATTTTTTGTGGGTTTAGTAGACCAGAGTTCTTCAACTTCAGCAAATTCCAGATGGGTGGATTCCAATGCCTACAATTCAGGGAGTTGAAGTTCAACCAGTTTATAGTTGTTGAGAAACACTGATTTAGACCAGCAGTGAAATCTGGCCGGATCTATCTGGCTCGTGCGAATCTGTAGCACCGGCGCTGGAAGGCTCCACCCACCCGCTGGGATGTCATTACGTCCCATTTTTGATCCTCTGCGTATGCGCAGAAGAGGCCCGTACGCTCCCATTCCCGAACCGCTAGTGAAGGTAAGTGGATTTCACCACTGATTAGACGTTATTTTTTTTGTGTAGAAAGATAACGTATGAAATAATGAAGAAATAAATAGGGGACCCTCTGTACCTCCATAGCGAACCGAAGGGATTAAGTTAAATTTGACACCAGTTAAAGCAACTTCAGTCTGGTACTGTCTTTTTCTAGTCAAGGGAAGGAGGAAACCTTTTGTAGATGGGTCTACTTGTGAGCAAGTAAGAAATGTGACTACGGGGGATCATGCAGACCAGTGGTGGATTCCTCCCGGTTCGGTCCGGTTCGGCCGAGCTGGTAGTGGTGACGATATGACGTCACCGAACCGGTTCTCCTCCCCCCCCGCCCTCCCACCCCCCCCACGTTATTCTTACCTTTTATTTGATCCCACCCCCAATCTATTGCTGCCTCCTGAGTCCCAGCTGATGACTAGAGGGAAAAAAACTGTTTAAACTCTTGCCGTGGGGCTTCAAAGGGCCGTCCTACAGCTGATCAGTGTTAAAAGCAAACAAATGAGTCGGGTCATAAGTGCGAGGACTGGTCGTAAGTGCGAGGACCTTCCAGAAATGACTCTGACCAGCTAGCCACGCCTACCTAGTCACATGACCTCCAAGCCATACCCACAAAATAAGCCACACCCACAGAACCGGTAGTAAAAAAAATTAGAACCCACGCCTGATGCAGACATGAGATTTCACTTGATGAAGCTTTCCTGAATAAATATGGAGATCATTAAGATGTGAGCTATCACTTGCAGTGTGATATTAGCCTAGCAAGGTAATCCAGACAAAAGTAAGACCTAGAAGGCCTAATTGAACTATATTGTAAAGATACATTAGCACAGGGGTGTCAAACTCAGATTTAACAGATTAATAGAGTTGGAAGGGACCTTATAGGTCATCTAGTCCAACCCCCCCCACTCAAGCAGGAGACCCTACACCGTTTCTGACAAATGGCAGTCCAGTCTCTTCTTGAAAGCCTCCAGTGATAAAGCTCCCACAACTTCTGAAGGCAACTTCTGTTCCACTGGTTGATTGTTCTCACTGTCAAAAAAATTCTCCTTATTTCCAGGTTGAATCTCTCCTTGTTCAGTTTCCATCCATTATTCCTTGCCTGGCCTTCAGGTCTTTTGGAAAATAGCTTGACCCCTTCCTCTGTGTGGCAGCCCCTCAAATACTGGAACACTGCTATCATGTCTCCCCTGGTCCTTCTCTTCGCTAGACTAGCCATGCCCAGTTCCTGCAACCGTTCATCGTATGTTTTAGCCTCCAGTCCCCTAATCATCCTGGTTGCTCTTCTCTGCATTTTTTCCAGAGTCTCAACATCTTTTTTATAGTGTGGTGACTAAAACTGGATGCAGGATTCTAGGTGTGGTCTTACTAAGGCTTTATAGAGTGGTATTAAACTTATACGTTGATATGGACCATAGGCTAGTCTGTCTGTCTGTCTGTCTGTCTGTCTGTCTGTCTGTCTGTCTGTCTGTCTATCTATCTATCTATCTATCTATCTATCTATCTATCTATCTATCTATCTATCGGTAAAGGGTCTCCTCGCACGTATGTGCTTGTCATTCCTGACACTAGGGGGCGGTGCTCATCTCCGTTTCAAAGCCGAAAAGCCAGTGCTGTCTGAAGACGTCTCCGTGGTCATGTGGCCGGCATGACTAAACGCTAAAGGTGCATGGAACGCTGTTACCTTCCCACCAAAGGTGGTCTCTATTTTTCTACTTTCATTTTTTTATGTGCTTTCAAACTGCTAGGTTGGCATAAGCTGAGACAAGTCACGAGAGCTCACCACGTTACACGGTGCTGGGGATTCAAACCGTTGAACTGCCGACCTTCCGACCGACAAGCTCAGCGTCTTAGCCACTATATATATATATATTCTTGCACAACCTTGGCTTGAGTGGGAACCCCAAATTATTTTTCTAACAGTTCCATGACGGTTGTCTTGCCTGTGACTCTTCCCCAAGATCATTCCCAGACACCTGAACTGTGAGCAGTTACTTTTAACAAAAAGTAGTAATTCTTGGCCTCGCGTTAACATCAGAAATCCATGCGAGATAACATTTTTCACATCGGGATGTCCTGCCCCAGGGAGAGGAAACAGTTCCTGCTCTACCACATAAATAAACAAGACTTAAGAGGGCCTACATCCAAAGGGGTCATTCTGAGACCACCCAAGGGGGCATCCGTGAGCTTTAAATCTGCAAGCTGAAAGCTGGTTTGTTTACATGCCTCAATCTCTCACGGTAAAGCAGCTAACGGAGAGAAGAAGGCTACTCACTTGTCAGCAACCGCTTGCATAAACTCATCCAGCAAGTCATCGTACTGTTTCCCACGAACTCGCTTATGTTTGAGGCCAATGTAGAGCGGGTCATTCAGGAGCGCCTAAAATAGAGGAAGAGAAAACAAACAATGTCTGCTTGAAAAAGCAGCGGGATATTTTTCTCCTGCCGGATACAACCCTTATTCCTGCATTAGCAGGAAAAATTGATGATTTATTTTCAGCTAACCCCAAGTAGTAAGGTTTTGTGTGGTGGCTCAGGTTGGGTGACATCGAGAATGTGAGAACAGGAACCTGGCTCATAAAACACCTCTGTCTTTACCTGGGAATAAATGGAATTGGGTTTCCTGCCTGAGGAGCGGGTTGGACTAGACGACCTCCAAGGTCCCTTCCAGGAAGGATTTGCAAGGAATATAAATCCTTCCATTCCCCACTGTCTTGTCAGAGCTGAAGAAGCTTCTTTCTTCGAAAGAAAAACAAAACAAAACAAGAAAGTCCAGTTGTCTCCTGGAAAAGCACTTTTGAGACAATATTCCTGCAAATTTAGTGCTGCGGTGTCAACATCTGGATAGAGATGAGCTTTAAAGTGATGCAGGCAGAGAATATTCATGCTTTAAAACCTTTTTTAGAGCATCTGAAGTCCTGCGCAGCCATACTAAAGATGAACTACAAAGAGGTCCTTCGTTTCATGAAAGCTGTCCTTCAGGTGTATTTATTTTCCGCTTCAGTCCTTTGACTTTTACTGTACAAATGGTACCGTTTAATGCACAGTCTTTTCACGTTCCTGCATAAAATACGAAAATGGGAATTGCCTTTGTGAAATGTACCGTTTGATTTTAGATAGATTGATGAGAAGATACGTTTTTCTTGATGTTGCTCTTGAATTTTTCCTTTGTAAAGCCACGTTTATAAGCATAAGCAATTGAAACTTTTAATCCTTATTAACCTCTTTCAGATTTGCTCCTTTTTTGAGGCTGGTCCTTTTATGTTTTTCTAAGAAAATATGGCCACTGTGTATACAGTCGTCCTTGCTTCTGTGTAAATAAAAGAGCTCCCTCACAAAGTAAGGCAAATGTGTGTCTCGGTTACAGAGTAATATTAATCCTCTGTTCAGATTTCAGTGTAACAACGAAACTGTGGAAATATTATCCTTCCATGCATTTCATGCCTCTCCATTCCTCTCTTGCCTTGAATAATAAGAACAGGCAATTAGCAATTTACTAGATAAGACCAACCTTTGACCATGTGGGAGGAATGTGTACTGAGGATGTTACCTACTTGGGTAATGAAATGTTTACAGAAAAACCACAAAGCTCAGGAAGTACCAAGGACCCAACAGAATCTGGCCCGTGAGGTGCTTAGATCTGACCTGTGGGCCCGTCCTGGAAACAGCGAAGGACCAGCCTGTAGTGCCTCTGCCAGTGAAAATGGAGCCTGGGTAGGCCACAACATGGCTGCAGGAGGCCATTGTGGCCAAAAACGGAGCCCAGGCAGGCCGTGCACAGCCTCCCCGAGCTCCGTATTTGCTGGCAGAGGGCTGCAGGAGGCCGACGTGGCCAAAAATGAACCCTCGATGTGATGTAGAACTGGCCATGCCTACCCTGCCCTCCCCCGGACCCCCCGAGGTCAAGCACAACCCTGATGTGGCCCTCAATGAAATCGAGTTTGACACCCCTGCAATAGAAGATAATATTTGTAATTCAGGGTTGAACTGTAAGGTTTTGGTGCTCTCTCAGCTGGGCTGCTTTCTTGCAGACGTTTCCTTACCCAGCATCATCAGTGCACTGATGATGTTACCTAGTTGGGTAATGAAATGTCTACAGGAAAACAACCAAGCTCAGGGAATACCAAGGACCCAACAGATTTTAATTAGTGTCAAAATTTAAATATGAAGAATGTCTGCTTAAAAGAAATGCTTCAATCCGAGCTCAGTTTCCATTGCAGGTAGCCCTCGACTTATGACCACAATTGAGCCCAAAATTCATTAAGTGAGTGTTGTCTCATTTTATGACCTTACTTGTCACAGTTGTTAAGTGAACCACTGCGGTTGTTAAGTTAGTAACACAGTTGTTAGAGTGAAACTGGCTTCCCTATTGAATTTGCTTGTCAGAAGGTTGAAAAAAGGGGGAATTACAGGACTACGGGACACTGCAATTGTCATAAATAGGAACTTGTTGTCAAGCGTCCAAATTTTGATTAAGTGCGAACGGGGATGCTGCAATGGTCGTGTGAAAAATAGTTATAAATCACTTTTTTTCAGTGTCGTTGTAACTTTGGTGAATGGTCCCTAAATGAATGATTGTTAAGTCATGTACTTGATACGCGAGAGATGCCAGATGCTTTGTCCATGTGTCAACTATGCTCAAATCAAGCAAAGGATGGAGACTGGACCAGTGGTGGGATGCTGCCAGTTTAACAACTGGTTTGGTGATTGCGCGCCTGAGTAGTTTTAGAAATACAAACCTTCTGTGTTACCACTTGGGAGTAACACAGCTGTTGTAGTCCACCAGCAGCCTGCGGAGCTGGCAGCAGAGTCGGACAGTGATGAGGCTGAGGAAGAACATGGGCAAGTGCTGAAGGCTTGGGAAGGCCCGGATGAGGGCTCTGCGTCAGAGGCAGAGATGGGGCCAAGGCCATCGGGGAGTGATGTGCGGACTTTGGAGCCTCCAGAGGCTGACAGTAGAGAGGCAGAGGAACAGGAGGAGCCTGTTCCTAGTGCACATATGAGAAGAGTTGCCAGAAGGCAGGAGCAGCTAAAGCAGAGAGGACGACTCGGGAGTAGGGCCAAGAGATGATTGGCCCCTCCCATAAGGCTTAAAAGACCAGCAATAGCTCTTGCCCTCTTTGCCAGAAAACAACCGTTGAGAGATTTGCTTTGTGTTTGGATGTATTTCTTTCTTGTCAGTGTCTTCTGTTCCTGAACTGTTGCCATGAAAAGCTTTTGGCAGTTTGCCTAATTATCCCAAGATCAGAGATAAACTGAAGAATGGTGTTTTGAGAACTTTGCTTTCATTTAATTTGGAATACGCTGAGAATGAGTTAATTCTCAGCTGTTTTAATAAAATCTGTTTGTTTTTGGAACTGTTTTGCATTTAAAATTAACTACGTGGGCCTGGGTCACAACAACAGGTGAGGCGCAGCAATCTGCTCTGCCACGCCAATCAGCTGAGAAGATAAAGGTCAGTAAAGCTCAGGGGCAGGGGGGCGGGCCAACCTGATCGTCGGAGCAAACCGGTTCGCTCCCAGCTGATCGTCGGAGCCACCGGTTCGGTCGAACCAGTCCATACCAATAGAATCCCACCCCTGGAGTGGACGCTGAAGTCCTGTCCATTATCTTGCCTCATTTGATTGACACATACACACCCAAGTCCCAGACACCACTCCACAAGGCCTTGTCTTGTAATCCCAGTCTATGTACACAGACGCATAATTCATACTTTTGACTGAAATATTATTTTTTCCAAGACAGCCATAACTCCGGCCATTAACTAATGATTCATAGGAAGCACTTTTAGTTTAGCTCGGTGGGAAACAGGATTCTGGACCGCATACATGGAAACAGAAGCAGATGCAAAGACCAGGGGACAATTAAACAGACTGGATGACTAAGAGGAAAGCGATTTGGGTCTCAATCAATAGGCTGATTCAGCCGCACCGAAAACGGGGGACGGTGAAAACATCTTTCCAAGTGACACATTGTTCCCACAGTTTCTCGCTGACATTTCACATCGTTTTGGTCGTTGTTTTCCCAAACAGCGAAAGGCACAGCTGTGTTTCTACACCAGGAAGCCTAGATGGGGATTCCCTGGATTGAAAGTCAAAGGTCCTCTCTGCTGTGACGTACACTGAAGACAAGGCTAGGATTTTTTTTAACACTAAGGTAAAGGTAAAGGTTTCCCTCGCACATATGTGTTAGTTGTTCCTGATTCTAGGGGGCAGTGCTCATCTCCATTTCAAAGCTGAAGAGCCAGCGCTGTCCGAAGACGTCTCTGTGGTTATGTGGCCGGCATGACTAAACGCCAAAAGCGCACGGAACACTGTTACCTTCCCACCAAAGGTGATCCCTATTTTTCTACTTGCATTTTTTACCAGCTTTCAAACTGCTAGGTTGGCAGAAGCTGAGACAAGTAACGGGAGCTCACCCTGTTTTGCAGCACTAGGGATTCGAACCGCTGAAGTGCCAACCTTTCAATCGACAAGCTCAGCGTGTTAGCCACTGAGCTACCATGTCCCCCTTTAACACTACCTTTAACACTACCAGCTGCCTAATTTGACAAAACCCTCACATTGATTAAGGGGATTTAGTCTTGCAATTACTGCAGGAAGTCAATAAATATTCTGCAATCTCCCAAAGGTGTTTTTTTTTCCGAAGTGGCAACTGGACTTTCTGATTTTTCTCTGAAGACGTTTCGCTTCTCATCCAAGAAGCTTCTTCAGCTCAGACTGGATGGTGGGGAATGGAAGGAATTATATTCCTTGCAGATAGCAGCTGGTCATTTGCGGGGTTTTTTTGAGAGTCGTTGAGGCCACTTGGAGATTTATCTGTGTCATCGGGGTTACATGAGTGGTACTAATGGTTCCTGTAATCTGCAATTTCTTCTTTCTCTCTGGAATGTTCATACTCCTGTAAGAAGTTAGCACCCACCCCTCTCCTAGGAAAATGAGATATTCTAGGAAATATTAAAAAGGCAGAATATTTCCCCTAAAAGAGAAATATAAATTTTAAGACATAAACTCAGAGCTTCAGCTCCCTGACCCCAGCAGATACTCTGGTTATTTACAAGACAAAAGGCTGGGCCAGCTTATATACAACACAAAAGACATGGCCCTCAGGACATGATAGGATTAGCTTTCACTGAAGATCCAAACCAGGACAAAGCCATTAAGCCATAATAGGAATTGCCCAAACCACCTCATTACATCATCACCCAGCAAGATTCAACCAGGCCTGGGACACAGACAGCCTACAAAGTTGGCAAAGACCTCCCGTCCCCTGACAGCCAATGGGATACATTTCTTGTACAGGAACAGGAAACTCTAAGGCAGGGCCCAAGAGAGTATATAAATATATCCCTCTCTCCACTCCATGTGCTCTTTTTTTTTT